ATTTATTTTATTGTAAAGATGCTGTGCAGAGCGGCTACAGTTGCATGAGTACGGCAATGAGTGCATGACTTGTCGATCATTCTTACCCCTTCCCTTGCTGTCATCCCACTATCCCTTCCCTCCTCCACCTCCCCACTTCCCCCTCCAAAGCTGTAAAGTTCATTTCCAATATACTTTCGCGTGGGAATCATTGTTGCAATGGGTCATCCTGTGTCCTTGTTTCACTGTTTTGTTATTCCCCTTCCCCTCCCCAGATTAGACAAATGTATATACAAGATGCAGGGTACTAAAATCAAGTACAGTGACAACAGGAGATATACCATAGGGGGAAGAACATACAAAGGAAACAAAAAGACCTCGTGTCCATATCTTGAGGTTCATTTCACTTAGCATCATTTTAAATGATCATATATAGCGTTTGAGCTTTTCAGCTCATCTGATAAGATTATCCTATATGTATGCTAATTATTGCAAGTAAGAGAAACCATGGGACCTAAATTTTTTTGGGACTGGCTTGTTCATTATTTTAATGAATTAAATTATGCAGCAACTCAGTGAGGAAGCTGGGGAAACTGAGGCACAGGGTAGTAAGCTATGAATAAGAGGAAGAAAAGACTGCAGAGGTAAACCTAGGCAGTCTGTTTCAGAGATCCACATTCTTTGTAATTTTTTTTGTACTGGAACTGGGACTTGATCTCAGGGCCTGAGTGCTATCTCTTTGCTTTTTTGCTCAATTATAGTGCTCTAGTATTAAGGCCTACTTCCATTTCCAGATTTTTGGTAGTTAACTGGAAAAAAGAGTCTCATGGACTTTCCTGCCTGGGCTGTCTTCCTTTGACCCTCAGATCTCAGCCTCCTGAGTAGCTTGGATTACAGGTGTGTATGCCCCTGTGCATGGCCAAGAGCCCATGTAGATTGGCATTTTTCTGTAAAGGGTCAGACAGTAAATATTTTGGGCTTTGTGGGCCATTTGTTCTGTCATGACTATTCAGTTCTGCCACTGGTACAGAAAAGCAGCTGTAGATAAATGGGAAAATGTGGTGTGTTCCAATAAAACTTTATTTGTAAGTACAAGTGATCAAAGGCAAGAATGTACCCCAAACATAGCACCTGGCACCGTAGAAGGGCTCCATTAGTGAAAGGTATTGTTAGTGAAGCCAGCCTCCTTACTCTTTCCCCTGGAAATGCCCCTTATGCCTTCAACTGTCTCTCACAAATCCTGCTAAGTTAGAAGAGGAGGATGTGTGTTCTCTGAATTGAAAATTGGTACTTCCAGATACCACAAAAGCAGCTAGAAAAAAGGGGAAGACATTGCTTCTTCTCTCCATTGTCTGAGGAGGCAGAGTGAACTCAGGGGCTAGATTCTTCAGATCCATTAGTGCCAGAGGTCCGTGTGAGTTACCGAGTTCTCTTTGCTGAGAGCCTGGTTGTGAGTCAAGAGAGAACTAACTGGGGCAGGGCGGGGCTTCCCACTACATCTGAGGTCATTCCCTGGCCACAGGACGCCTGCTGTTGGCCTTTCTAAATAATGTCATCAGGTCAAACATGAAAACATACACCCACCTAGTGGGTAATTCTGTCCCTTCCCATCAGAAGCAATTAGAACTTAACTTTTTTGATTAAAAAAGTTATGGCTTTGTTATGGCTGCCTCCATAACAAAGACTCTGGAATAAGTTAAGAGATAACATTTCACCTAGAGTCTATAGGATTCAGGTTTCACTGAGGAAGGAACCTTACCAGTAATCCCAGTAGTGATTTGCTACTTTTGATCCCTACATTTAATTGAAGTTACCCAACTGTCTTATCAGGTAGATGTGTTTTTGTTTTTTTTTCCGGAACTGTATTTAGTAGGGAGGAAACTGAGGCCTGGAAAGAATAAGCATTCTCTGGCTTCAGGAGTGGTCTCCTGGCCAGGCCTCTCTGAGGAGTGTGCTCTTTCTTTTGATCACAGAGACAGAATCAGATGTGGGCAAGTGGCTCATTCTAGAAAGATCAGATCTCTCTCCTGAAACTTTTAGGGACATGCAAGGAAAGAGAAGCTGTGCTCCTGCTGGGCTTATTCAAGATTCAAAAGTAGGGACATTGATGCGTATTGCTGCTATTATGTGAAGAAAACCTGCCTGCTTCTCAGAGATGGAGACAGAAGTGGCCATGTCATTTGAGCCCCAGGAACTATCCATGCTTAAAATCATAATTATGTATGTTCTTTTTTTTTGTTGGACTAGTTTGAGTTATTTTTTCTTAGTGGTATCCAGAAGAGTTGTTCCTGATATGCAGGGAGTTTTCCATCTCAAACCACAGTTACCTGTGCAAGAAAGTCTCACACTACCCTTTCTCTCTTGAGGTTTGATCACCATGTTTAGTCAGCCTTCCATATGCACTGCCTATTATGTTGATTGCTGTTTGGATGGAGTATATTAGAAGTTGTACACATCTCTTGTGGTTTGGATCTGAAATGTCTCACGAAAGCTCAGGTATTGAATGAAATCTAAAGCAGCTGTGTTCAGAGGTGAGACCTTTAGGAAATGAGCAGATCCTAAAGGCTCTAACCTCATCAGTGGATTAACTCAATGATGAACTCAGTTGAATGGGTTATTGGGAGGCGGTAGAAACTTTCAGAGGTGGAGGCTAGTGGGAGGAAGTGGGTCACTGAGTATGCCCTTGAAGGTTTAGCTTATCTCTAGCACCTTCCCCTTGCCCTCAGTCTTTGCTTCCCAGCCACTATGAGGTGAAGAGCTCTACTCCAGCACACATACCCTGCCAAGATGTTCAGCCTCCCTACAGGCCCAGAAACCTTGGAGCTTAATGACCATGGACTAAAGCCTCTGAAACCATGAGCCAAACCAAACTTTTCCTTCTTTTAAGTTGATTTTTTGGCATTTTGCTCCAGCAATGGAAAACTTGTTAAGAGTGTCTCCCTCCCTCCCAACCCCCCTGTGGCACCCTGTGAGCTTCCCGAGGTAATGCTTCATTGTTTCTAAAAGCTCCAGTAGGCACTCAGCTTTTGACAACAGCACGGTTCCATAGTCTTCACCTATTATGCATTGTCCTTTTCAAAGTCCACATTAGTCAAACCCCCACATTTATGAATACTCCTATTCTATTGGGATAAGGGAGTTTAGATATAACCACAAGATGAGGCAACTGACCCAAGGAGACACAGCTGAGCAAAACACAGACACCAAAAAGTAGGGTTGTTTCCCCCACAATCTCTTTAGTCTCCCCAGGCTATGCCCTGAAGTAGCAAACTTTGGCGTTTTCACTCTGCCTTCCAGAGCCTTGAACGTGAGGGACTGGTGCCAGTCAAAGAAAGCATGGGCACAGACTTCAAAGGGCCTGCCCTATGGGATTTCAGTCTTGACAGGGCTTTCAGCCTGTCTGCTGCCCACCAGAAGCCACACCAGGATGGTCAGTATTAGATGGGCTGGTTTCGCTTCAGGTGGATCGTTCCCATTACCCAAGGAAATGTTGGCAACTCATGACTTTATGGGTCCTCTATCCAGGAAAACTAGTGAGGAGGTTAGGTGCCTCAGCTCTGCAGGCTCCAAGGCTCCTATTAGAATGTAATTGTTGAGTAAACAACTGGACCGGTGTGCAAACATAGAGTGGAGCTCAGAAACAGCTGTGTAAATAATGACTGGAAAACAGAAGCCCCTAAACCTCCAGGTATACAATAGCAGGCAAACCGATGACAGACTGGGCAAAGCCAATCCCCATCCACAGCTGAGCTTGCCAGGGCAGGACAGTCCCCTGACCTCACCTTCTGCCAACATCTCCTTCCTAGTCTGGTTGGATTACCCTCTTTCTTCCCTCCTTCCTCTTCCATTTAGATTCTCTACTGTGCTCTCCAATCCTGTCCTTTCTCCTCCTGTTCCCAGAGGTCCTAGATGGGCTTAGCAGATTTCATCTCCTAGGAAGCATCTGCTCCGACTCTTAGCCAGCCCATGTCTAAGGCCTATGACAAACTGACCTGGCAATGTTTATCTGGGCAAGTTGTGTTTTGCTTGCTGGCTACAACTATGTATGCATGTTACTGCCTTGTTAACCACTTATCCCTATTTACCTGACACGTAGCAAGTGCTCAATGAATGTCCAGTGAATGAATCATCTTCAAGGACACGCCAGTACCCAGGCTGCTTGCTTCCAGCCATGGACTTGGTTTCTGGTCAAGACACCTCACTCTACAGCCATGCTGCCTGGCAATAACAATACATCTTCCCCACTGAGGTGATAGGAAAGTGACATGTATTATGATGGAGAATATTTGGCATACATTAGGTTCTATTTTATGCATTTTTGTGATTATGATCATACATGCCTGGACAGAAATGGACATACTGATACAAGATGTTTAAACTGTCAGACTGTCACTCTTATTCTACAGATGAGAAAACTGATTCTTAGTGAAAGGAAGGGACCAGCCCAATACGACACAGGTAGAAAACCTCAAGACTATGCACCTTTGCCATAACTTTTCAGATCATTATTTTCAGAGGAAAAATAAGATTTGTAGCCAAAGAGGAACCTCCCTCATTTATTCATCATTCAAATATTTGTGTGGCAAACAAACACACTGTGTTTTTTTTTTTAGTGAATAGATGAATGAATGGCAAAATGTTGAGAGACCCCGTGGTTAAAGAAGAAAGAAAGGAAGCCCACAGTGCGGGTTATCAGATCCTTTTGTGTGCCCCACATCTTATCTTTGTGCTAATGGCAAACATAACTAATCAATCGTGGCATGCCTTTGCACTGAGCCTGAACTCAGCCTTTGAAGGCTTCATATCACAGCCCAGCTCAACTGATCATAGTTGGGCCCTCAGCTGAAATGTATTTGCTTTCCTTAGTCTGCTCTCAGAAATCTCTTTGGTTATGTGGTTTTCTTCCTCCTTTTATCTATGTCTCTCAGGCTCACCCCCCATTTCCCACCCTCCCTGTTTCCATCGTTCTTTCAATAGTATAGACCCAGGGTAAAACACTTTCCAATACAGCAGACACATACCTGAGGGCTCAGGGCTCCTATTTCTTTGCTTCAGTGGAGAAGGTGAGATGGTTCGTCTGGTGCCTTGAGTCTTTACCTAGCCAATGGTCACCTTGGCCCTGCTGCTCCTGGTTTAGCCTCCTGGTTCTCAGAGGGGTGGAAGCCTTCCTGGTACCTCTACCATATGTGACAGCCCGGAAGGAGAGATCGGGCAGCTCATGGGCCCTTGATGGGGCAGCTATTCCAGGCCCTGCCCAGGTATGGCCCTCCTTAAAGAAGGCTTGTCACAAACTCTCCCTGCTTGTTAAACAATCTCACCAGGAAGGAGGAAGTTTAATCTTAAGAGCTCACAGAGGAGGAAATGAGTCTAAAGTCTTGTAGGGCTGGCAGAGCATGGTGAGGGCTGGGCCTGTTTTCTTTCCTATATTACTCCCCAGCTGTTCCAGGGGATGCTTGAGTAAGGGGTTAAACAACTCAGTCAAGAGTGAGGTACCATGATCTGCCTAAAAAAAGTAAAAGTAAACTCCAGAAAATTGTCAGCCCTGTGCTAACACCTCTCTAGGTCCTGGGGTAGAAGTGGTAGGAAGAACAAGTTGATGTAGGCTCTGACATCATTTGTCACCTAGGAAGGTCAGAGGTTGCTGGACACAGAGATGGGAGGTAAGCCTGGGTAAGATAAAGGTCAGCCAAGGAAGGGGTGTTCAAAGATGATGCTAAGATGTGGAACTTTCTGAATTGATAATGAAGAAGAGAGGGAAAAGGAGTTGGTTTGAAGAAATGATTCTAGACTTGGGTTGGAATGCCTTGAGTGAGAAATTATAGCTGGAGGAAGAAGAAGAGAAGGGGAAAAGAGAGATGGAGGATTTTGATGGATCTTTAGTGAGCACAGTGCTCCTCCCAGGACTAGCTGCGTCAGTAAGTGCCCAGCATCCCCTGCCCCGTCTCCCCAACCTCCATCAGCTTTATTGCTAATCATGACCTTTCTTCCCGAGCCTTCTTCCCTTATGTGAAGTTGCTATGCCAAAGACACTTGAGACCTTGGGTTTGCAGGGTCTATTGACCCTGCCTATTTCCACAAAAAGGATATGTTTTCCCTTTGCAATGAATATCTTGGGATATGACATCCAACAGCTCGTGAGGGAAGAGCAGGCCAGGGCTCCAGCCTGGGATGGCCCTCATTGCTGCTGCTCTAGGGTAGGCAGGTGGCCCTTCGGAGTGCAGTGCTGTCTGGCTCCTTCCCTCTTACTCTTTGCTGGGATTGGTGTCCTCAAGGCTGTAACCTTCTTATTATTCAGATCTGCCCTTTAGTGTCACCACCTCTAGGAAGGCTCCTCTCCTGTCCCCTCCCAAGTAACAAGCAGGTCCTTTAAAAGTGCCACAGGTTCTGGAGTGCTGGCCTCGCATGCACAAGGCCCAGGCAGGGTTCAATGCTGGGGGTGGTGATTTGGCAGGGGTAGGTAACAAGGTGACAAGTACTGAAGGACCTATGAAGGAGACTACCTGAAGACAAGAACTTCCACAGGTTGAGTTTTTCAGGGTGTTGTATTGAACTACCACAAATGTGGTAGTTCAAAGCAACTCATAGTTATTATTGTACAGTTCTGGGGGCTGGGAGAACGCCATGGGTCTTGCTAGGCTAGAATCAAGTGTGAGCAGGGCCACATCCTTTTTTGGAGACTCCAGAGGAAAATCCTGCTTCTTTTCTAGAAGCAGCTGTGAATTCTTTGGCTTGTGGCTCCTTTCTTCCATCTTTCTTCCTTTACCATTTTAACTCTCCCATAGCCTTCCCTCTTTCATTTGAAGAAACTTATAATTACTCAGAATCCACCTGAAGAATCCAGGCTACTCCCCTTGTCTTAAGATCAGCAGATGAGCGAGCTGACTTCTGTCTGCTCCCTTAATTACCCTTTGCCCGGAAATTGTATCATCTGTTCACTGGCCAGGGGTTAGTATAAGGACAGCTTTGAGTCATTTTTCTATTAATCACAAATGTGACCTTCATTTATCCTGCTAAGTTATTTCCTGACTACAGTAGAGGCAGAAAAGGGATGATGGTGTTCTTTTTCCCGCCCACCATAAAGGTCATGTCAGACACACTTATAACCAAAGACAAATTAACCAGAGAAAGCATAACCAATTTATTAACCTACACATGAAAACTAGGACCATATAAACTCTGAAAACTAAAAGGGCCAGAGGGTTAAAGCTTTAATCCCTCTTATTGAAGAGAGGGAAAGGGCCAGGGTGGGGGGAGGCTGTTACAGGTGAGGAAGGAATCCAGGGTATTTCTCAACCTTGGCCTTAGAAGCAATAGCCAGGTATGGCAATGATTTTCGATTCATCCCTTTTCTCCCAGAGTTCAGCATTTCTTTTTATTTGATGGGATTCCTGGGGAATTTAAGACAATTAGTGTGTGTGTGTGTGTGTGTGTGTGTGTGTGTGTGTGTGTGTGTGTGTGAAATTTTGTCAGATGAAGGGACTTCAGTGATTCCTGCTTCACCTATTTACTTGGGGGATAATACAAGATCAGTGCTCTCTGGAATCTGAAAGTGTTCTTCCACTCCGCATGTGAGAACGCCACAGGTTGGGATGTGATTTTATGAGCCCCAATGCTGTTCTTTCCTTGTTGCTTGTCCTGCTCTGTTGGAAAATGAAGCCCAGGAGGCAGGGAGCCCACTGATATAGTTCACTGGAACAGTGCCCACGACTCAGCAGGTGCTGGGTGAAGACTTGTTGAATAATGACTGAAGCACGAACAAGTTCCAGGTCATTCTGGTACCAGTGTCCACACAGGGGGCCTGGGTGTGGGAGCCAGGAGCTGCCAGTCCCATGCCACCTACAAAGACCCATGATCTGGGGCGTCCTGCCTCTTCCCTGGTAGGAAAGGAGGACACGGGTGAGCCCCCTGAGGACTTCACACCTTGAAGTTCTTTAGCATCATGAGGTCACCTGCTGCTTCCCTCTCAATGGCTACTGTCCATCTAAGGGAACATTAGCCACAGTGTTTTCTCATAGAGGAATCAGCTGGGTTGGCATTGCTGCTGCTTCCAGTATACATCTTACCAGAAGTTCATCACTGCCTTGGTAGAGAACATGGGCCCTGGGTCACACAGGCCTGGGTGTGTGACTTGATTGACCCTGCTGTTTTGTTGCTGGGCTGCCTGGAGTGATGGCTTCTTTACATATCCTTCTATGAGGTGGGGGTAGTCCTTAAATGATTATCTGGGGAAGAAAGTAAGAGTGTATTAGAAGGCCTGGCACATAGTAGAAGCTCACTAAATGTTGACTATAATCATCACTTCTTATGGGTGAATTTGACTTCCCTGCTGAGAGGGACGCTGTATATAGACCACCAAGTCTGTGTACATGGTTTGGCAGACACAGAAGACATGTAATAGTTATAATAATGGTTGATTTCTCATCAACCCTGGGCTGAGTTTGGTGGCAAAAGCTAAGTTCGGGGTGAGAAGAAAGGGTAACCGCCACCATGCTTCATGTGGCCAGTTGACCTGGGACACTGTTGCCACTGCCAGCCAGTCGCATATGCTCAGGGAAGACATTGAATGTAAAAGCTTCTTTCTATTACCTAATTTATGCAAATAATTCAGTCTCACCATGAACATTTTGGAAAATGCTTGGTGCTTGTGGTTCATGTTGGTTCAAAGCCAGCCCAGGCAGAAAAGTCCATGAGACTCTTATTTTCAATTAACCATCCAAAAAGCCTAAAGTGAAGATGTGGCTCAAGTCCTAGAGCTCTAGCCTGGAGTGAAAAAGTCAAGTGAGAACAGGAGGCCCTGAGTTCAAACCCCAGTACTGGCACATACACAACAATTTGGAAAACTCCGAACAGTGTGAAGGGAAAGGCATCAGGCAAGTGTCCACTGGGAAGGATGAGTCTGCCTTGACCCGATGGCAGACGCTTTTCCTGGGCATCCACACTGTAGCAGTCTCTTCTCATCGTTCCTTATGGCCGAGGCACTGTGCCATTAGAAATGTGGACATGCAATTTCCTAATGGCTGCACACAATCACACTCAGCAAAGCACCATCTTTATCTACTTTCCCAAAGGCTGGGCATTTAAATGCTTTTGTGTGTGAGTATGTACAGGGTGTGAGTTTACAAATACCCTGCAGTGAATTTTTGGCAGGCCTCTCATATGATGTGTCTCTGTGTGTATTTATTTATTTCAGTGGTTATTCCAGTATCCCACAACATGTTCATAAGGGTCAAGAAAGAAAAGAAGCAAAGTGTCAAGGTGCTTTGAAAACCATGGGGGAAATGAACCTTCCAAGTGGAAAGTCAGATTGTGGTGGTGGTGTATGTGTGTGTGTGCTTCAACAGCAGGAAGATGAAAAAATTGTGGAACTATGAATATCAACATTCAAAATTCACAGAGTACTCTATTATACAAAATGTATGCACAGCGCTGGGAAGGTGGCTCAGTGGTAGAGCGCTTGCCTTGCATGCATGAGGCCCTGGGTTTGATTCCCCAGCACCACATAAGCAAAAAGAAAAAAAGCTGGAAGTGGCACTGTGGCTCAAGTGGTAGAGTGCTAGCCTTAGAGCTGAAGAGCTGAGGGACAGTGCCCAGGCCCAGAGTTCAGGCCCCACGACCAGACTCCCCTCCGCCAAAAAAATGTATGCATAAACATTACTACATCCTAGCTACAACCTCTGCTAAGAGAAGTACTCCTCCTCCTCACAACTTAGAAATGGGGAAGCTGAGGCCTAGGGTTAAGTACTTTGCCCATGGTGACAAAGCTATCCAGTGGAAAACACACACACACACACACACACACACACACACACACACACACACACACACACACACACACACACACACACACACACACACACACACACACACACACACACACACAGAACCTAGGAGCTGCAATCAGGACTCCAGAACATGGCAGCCATCAGCGGTTTCCCTGTGGTGTCCAGAGTTTCCTGAAGTGAGATACTGTCTGTTTTTGTTTCAGGTTTTTATAGTTTTATTTTCTATTGAGCATAGGCCAGCTTTCCTGTCAAACAGACAAAGTATTGGCAAGGTTGTTTATTTCCCCAAAGCTGGTATAATTTCTAAATTTAAAGGAAAAAGTACAGAGGGTCAAATCCCTCCACTGGCCTGTCTGAGCGCAAGGGGCAAAGAGAAACTAACCCCTGTGCACCTGAGTGCGGCTCCCTGCAGCCGGCATGTGTGA